GTTTTGGTATTTTAATGGGGATTTCACTGAATCTGTAGATTGCTTTGGGGAGTACAGACATTTTCGCAATGTTGATTCTCTCCAGCCATGAGCATGGTATGTTCTTCCATTTGTTAATAACTTCTTGCTATTTATTTTCTTAGAGTTTGATAGTTTTCTTTGTAGAGGTCCTTCACCTCTTTTGTTAGGTGTATTCCTAGGTATTTCATTATTTTGAGGTTACTGTGAAGGGAATTGTGTCCATGATTAGCTGCTCTTCTTGGCTGTTATTGGTGTATATGAAGGGTACTAATTTGTGGACATCGATTCTATATCCTGAGATGTTACTGTACTTTTGATTATTTCCAGGAGTCTCGTGGTTGAGTCTAAGATCATATTGTCAGCAAGAGTGAGAGTTTGACCTCCTCTGCTCCCATTTGGATGCCCTTTATTTCCTTCTCTTGCCTGATTGCTTTGGCTGGAACTTCCAGCACTATGTTGAATAGTAGTGGTGACAGAGGACAACCTTGTCTGGTTCCAGATCTGAGTGGGAAAGCTTTCAGTTTTACTGAATTTACCATTCAGTATAATATTAGCTGTAAGTTTGTCATACATGGCTTCTGTCAGTTTAATAAATGTGTCATCTGTGCCTATATTCTTAAGTGTTCCTGCATCTGTTGAGAGGATGATATGGTTTTTGTTTTTGCTTCTGTTGATATGGTGAGTTACGTTTACGGACTTGTGTATGTTAAACCAGCCTTGCATCCCTGGGATGAAACCTACTTGAGTGTGATGAATTATTATTTTTTTAATGTTTAGCTATTGGCTAAATCTATTGGCTAGAATTTTATTGAGAATTTTTGCATCTATATTCATTAGGTTATACTACAAGGCCATAGTGATCAAAACAGCATGGTATTCACATAAAAATAGACTTGACATTTGGTAACAAAATAGAAAACCAAGAGATGAAACTAACATCTTACATCCACCTGCTTTTGATAAATCAAACAAGAACATACACTGGGGGAAAGAATCCCTAATCAATAAATAGTGTTGGAAGAATTGGATAACCACCTGTAAAAGACTGAAACTGGACCCACACTTCTCACCACTTACCAAAATTGATTCAAGATGGATAAAGGATTTAAATCTAAGGCATGTATAATAAAATTCCTCAAAGAATGTGTGGGGAAAACACTTGGAGATATCAGTCTGGTGAAAGATTTCATGAAGAAGATTTCCATGGCAATTGCAACAACAAGAAAAATAAGCAAATGGAACTTAATTAAACAAAAACAATTCTGTACAGGTAAGGAGACAACAACCAAAGCAAACAGACAACCTTCAGAGTGGGAAGAGATGTTTGCATATTATGAATTAGACAAAA